GGCTTAGAAGTGAAAGCCTGGCTGTATTCTCGCCTCTTGCTTAGACTGTAGAGGTTGGGTACTGTCCCAACTCTGTAACAGTTTGATATTATTTACGATATACTTATACACAGCCCGTAAGATGACCTTAATATACACTGTTACAGGGTGGGGGCAGTACCCAATATAGATATAGAGTTATGCGGAAACTGAACTCAAGCTCGAAGTGACTCAACTGAGCGGTCGTTTTGATGATGAAGCCCATGGATGATTCAACGCAACATCTCATTCTGGGGTGCATGGGGATGTAATCGTATCTCTGACCTGGAAGCGAGCTTAGTTAAGGGATGCTTAGTTGGGGGATTCCGAAATTAGGGGACCCCAATATAGCACCTTAAACAGTAGGATCAGGATCCTTATTAGAAGGACCCCCAAATAAGCTACCCCGATTTTTCAGAAACCCCCAGTTAAGGGATGTTGAGTTGGGCTGTTTTGGTTTGATGGTACGGGATGCATTCCACAGTTTACCTTTTATGCCCTCGCATAAAGCCGTAAAGCATGGGCTCCGGATGAAGCGCGGAGTCACACTAGACACCCCCCAAATCCCAAATCGTCAGACGCTTGTCCCCTAGCCTTAAACGCTACATGCAACGACTACTGTAGGAGCCGCAGATATAAGGCTCGGCCTGTGCCGGCTCTTGTATTGTAGAACGCAACTTCTACCTCAACTTTTCAGCCTTAATTCTGGGATTTAATATTGGGGCCTAAATGATTACCAATATTAATCCTAGGGTTCCTTATGATAATCATAGTATAATCGGCCCCAAAAACCCTGTTCTAACTGTTGAAGCCCCTACAGTGTGGTTGTTTTGGTTGCCGGTATTCGGGCTCTTGGTTTACGGTTTCGGGTATTGGGGTGTGAGGTTTCGGGTTGAATCGAAGCTTTGTGGTTTAAGGGTTAGTTCGGAACTAGCTCCCAAGCACAGTACCAGGGCAGTCATTGACACTGCCAAGGCATGCTTGACCCTCATCTGGCATGCCTGACCCTCGACCTTGAACCCTAAACCCTAAACCCTAAACCCTAAACCCTAAACCCTAAACCCTAAACCCTAAACCCTAAGCTCTGTGACCCTGAACCTGGAACCTACCTAGTTCGGAACTTGACCTTAGAGCGCGTAGCGTGGAGGTCTTCTGAGAGCCAGACACTCAATCAGCAGTCTGGGGTACCCAGAGAGCCCAATACCTCTTAATTAAATAATATAGCTTAAATCATAATATGAAGCCGAAGCCGTATTCCTTAATTAAGGGATATTGGGCTCTCTGGGTACAGGAGTCCTTTTTAAGAGGAGTCTACTTACCCCATGGCCCAGAAGCATATGGGTGGTTGTCAAAATTATGGTCCCTTTTGGGGAACCCTACATATTAGGTGCCGTACTATATTAGGCACCCAAAAGGAACCATCATTTTGACAACCACCCATTTATCATATATCTTGGAGTGGAGGTGGTTTTCGGGATCCGAAACCCGAAGTTAGGGAAACGGGTTAATATAGGGGGCCCAAATAAATACCACCTTAATAAAGGTGTAGCATAATAACATGCTCCAAAACCGGTTTCTAATTGTTAAGGCAATTATATTACCCAAAACAGTCCGAGACGGTCTCTGCAAGGTAAGCACTGACTATCGCGACTTTGCTCCCTGGCTACCAAGATTCAGACTTGGTTTGGGTCTAGGGTTTAGGGAATGGCAGCGAAACAGATGTAGCTATGTCTGCGGCTTTGTGAACGATGCCAGCCCACCACGAGAAATAAAGGAACCTGATGCTCTTGCGAAATTCCTTAGTAATAGAGGGCCTCAATAGTTGGTTACACGCGCACCAGGCGCCACGATATATCGTGCCTTCCATTAGGGGGGAGGGGGGGAGGGGGGGGAGGGGGGGGGGTTAAGAACGACCTCTGGCCTCGTATGCATCTACAGACCAAGATTTCAAGTTTCTGGTATGTCAGCTGCTCACAGAGCGACAAGGCATCGGTCAAGCGTCTGAGATATGTTTTGCGAATTTCTGCTCCAGACCTGTAGCTGGGTCACCCCAGGCCTCAACCCTAGGTACAGGGCTTTCTGTGGTCCTTCAGGTTCCGGTGCGACTTTGGCATGCAGGTTGCGAGTCTTTCGGGTTCAGAGTGTCTAAGACAAGAGAAAACCACACCCCAAAAACAGCATTTCCTGGTGTAAATTAGCTGATTTATCAATAAAAAAGAATAGTTGGGGGCTCCTGATAATAACTTGAATTTACACCAAAATCATACCAAAACCCTGGAAATAAGCACATTCAGACCCTGCAACGTAACAGGGCGCCTCACGCGCGTGTGACCTAGTTACCAGTACGATTCTGGAGGTTTCTTATACTTGCTGTGGTAAAATATCATCCAAAACGCTCGATATTCTAAGTGTTAACTATATTCCGCAGATGCCCGTTGTTTCCGGCTGTTTCTTGGCAAATCAAGGCCCCAGTCTAAACCCAGAAGTTTGCTTATTATTGCAGAAGCTTCGCAATTCCCAAACCCTGACCCCGGACGGCAAACCCGGAAGCTACAAGCCCAAAGCCTCAATGGTCAGTGGGCCGCAGCCGTGTACCCTTCCCGCCACTACGGAAGAGTGCAACCCTGGCTTCCCTCCTCTCTGCTCGGCGGACAACAGGGGATCCCGAAACCAAGAGACCGATCTTTCGTCCCTCCTGCTGCTTTTAAAGTGCCTTTCAAGAATCTATAGTAGGGTTCCTTTTAAAGGGTTCCTTTGAAGGATCGATAATAGGGTTGCCTGATGGGATACTGGCAAAAGGACAGCTTGGTGGACACAGAGTTCGACCGCCAGACGTCCCAGCAGAGTTCTTTTAGCTTCTCAGAGATGCCGGCAGCTCAGGAGTTCGGGGCTTCAGGGTTTGGGGGGTTCAGGGTTTCGGGCTTAGGGGTTGAGGGTTTAGGCTTCAGGGGTTTCGGGCTTATAGGGTTGGCTGAAGGGCTTTAGGCTTCAGGGTCTAGGGAGTTTAGACGTTTAGGGCTTTGGCCTTCGGTTTAAGGGGTTTAGGTTTTGGGCTTTTGGGTTTACGGGCTTAGGCGTCAGGGCTTAGGCTTTAGGGTTCAGGGTTTAGGGGCGCGAGGCATGTATATGTATATTGTATATGTATATGTATATGTATATGTATATTTTGTATGTATTTGTATATTGTAAATTGCATATTGCATATTGCATATTGTATATTGTATATTGTATATTGTATAATGTATATGTATATGTATATGTGTATGTATATGCGTATATGTATATACGTATATGTATATACGTATACGTATATACGTATACGTATATACGTATACGTATACGTATACGTATATGTATATGTATATGTATATGTATATGTATATGTATATGTATATGTATACGTATACGTATACGTATATGTATATGTATATGTAAACATATATCTATACCTATACCGGTACCCCTATAGACGTACATACATACATGCATACATGCACACAGACACATCAGACACAAATACATATGTACATACATACATACAAACCTACATGCGTGCATGCATGCAGACGGACGGACGGACGGACAAACGGACAGACTGACAGACTGCCAGCCAGACGGCCATCCGGCCAGCCAGCCACCCAGCCAGCCATGCATGCAGGCACCCACACCCACACCCACCCAGACACACAAACACAGATTTTTTCGTGGGTTCACCTTAAAAGGTCTCATGTTTTGGCTTGATGCGTGTAGTTGTTTAGGGCTTCTGAGATCAGCCTGTGGGTTCCTGGCTGCGGGATGCTGTAGACGTCGTATCAGAGCGACCTCCTTTAGTGTAGGGAGGAAAGCACGGAATCCGAGAGCTAGAGTTGCAAGTTTGGTGGTTAGGGATCCGCGCCCGGGCTTGGAATTTCAATTTTGAGGTTTGGGGTTTTGATCGTTCGATGGGAGACGTGGGCACCGTGGTGCAATGAGAACGTCTGCTTTTGATGGTTCAGTTTATTTGTCGCAGAAGCTTTCGAAATTTCAGGTTACAGTAAAAGCTAACTTCTGGCATGTGGTTCAAGACATAGGGTCAGAGGCTCTTTATATTATCGTTTAGCAGTTCGCGAAACCGTACTGCCTTGCGAGCTTGAGCGCTGTGGACTTGCATCAGCTGCTGGTTGGACCTCTGCACCCTGAAGCATACACCCTGGAGCGTAGAGTTCATACTTCGTGAACGTTTCAGGTTCACGATTGTCTGTGACAGTTCATAACAGCCACCAATGTTGTCCGACACCTCATTGTCATGCTGGCCTTAATTAGGATGCCTATGTCCGCAACCCTCTGGCAGCATTCAGGTCTGTAGAGGTCATAGCCCTTAGTAAGAAGACCTGTGAGTTAAAGCCCTCGGGAGGCAAGACTCGCCCACCGCGGGATCTGACGACACTGAGGACGTGTGCAGTGATGGTGTTCTGCAGCGCCATATTCATAAGTTGCCTCCGGATTAGCTTGCAACTTGCCTGTAAGAATTTCCCAGGCTCTGCAGACAGCTAGTGAAGTCTGAACGTGGCACCTTTTCAGTCCGCATGCGTGTGTACAACATGTCTACCCGTGTGCATGCATGTGTGTATGTAAGCAAACATGCCAACCCTAAAACCCTATTTTAAAACCCTAAACCCTAATTAAATATGCACGTAAGTATGTGCAGTTACTCGCGGCATTGCGCGAGAAGCAGGATTGTGCGAGCTTTCCAAAAATGCAAAGTGGCATGTTGAAGGCACACGGAGGTCCAGTAGCCAACTGCTGCCCTTTGTATAGGCGTGAAGCGGCTTTAAGATGTTACAATAACATACTTCACTGTCCTATGGTCTACTATGATATACTGCAATATACTATAACATATTATACTCTACTATAATATACATTGATCTGCTACGATCCACACCCCAAAAGAATCGTCGCGTGTGCCCCGAAAACCCGCAGCCCGAGAAGTGGCGGACGCGGGTGCTGCGGGACCGTGGCGAGAGTGCGATGATATACTATAGTATTTTATAATAAACTTCGAATGTATTATATTAGACTGTAGCATACTATAATGAACTATAGTGTACTGTATTAATTATGCCATATTGGTGGAGCATGCTCACAGTGGGAGCCGCAGATCCGCCGCAGCTATCACTGATCATACGTTAAGCCATGGTGCGGCGACACTATAGTACAAGAAGTACATGTATGCAGACATGTTTGAGTGTGGGTAAACGTCAGTTAGCAGAGCCTGGATTCCAAATTTTGAGTTTGGGATTCAAGAGAGATCAACTACTATTTGCTTAAGGAACCCCCCAAAAAATAGAAATAATAATCCCTATATTACCCCCATAAGGAATATATATTTTTTTTGGGGGTTCTTAAGCAAATAGTAGTCAAGAGAGTGGCTTCCCACGAAAGCCGTAAGTCCTGAAGCCCTAAGCCTCAAAACCTAAACCTAACCCTAATTCTTGAAGCCCTAGCAATCTATGAAGACAAGTTAAAGCATCGGATAGGTTCGAGTTAAGGAGCCCCTCACTCATTGCTATAGAATCTATCTTGGGTCGTAGTCGTAAATCTTATGATGGTAACAACAACCACAACAACAGTACATGGTACGTTACTGTCCGTACTATGATCAGGAGCATTATTCATGCTGTCAGTTGACTCGGTCTATCACTATTGTCATCCTTGCTATTCTGACTATGAGTATGGTCATTATCCGCATTATTGCTATTGCTGTATGTTCAGCATTGTTGTTGGTATTGATATTGTTATTATGCTCTTAATAGCTTGCATCGCTGTTGTTGCGTCTAAGAAATACTACATATATGTATTGTTGTTCGTCTAATTTGCACCGGCGCGTTTCCGATTGCGATGTTCGTGCAAACATGGTCTCACAGGAGCTCAGTTTGGACCACTTCCCGACAGTGATGATCAAGCAGCTCATCCAACTCTTAGGGTGCCTGGGTTTTTTTCGCCAATTCAAGATGGCCCGGTCTAGCAGGGGAGCCTCAATGACTTGGATCGTTAGAACCCTATCTCTCGTTTGCAAAAATTCGCTGCTGCACATCTGTACTATACCCCGAATGCCGCTGGGCCCTTAACCGCTGTGATCCTTCAACATCCGGATGTTGCGGGTTTGAAGGGTGGGCTTTGGCATCTTGCAACCCAAAGTGTCGAGATGCTGCCAGCTTGCATTATGCATCTTACTGAGAGAAGTCTATAGTCTCCCCCTCAGGAATTATTTTAGTTTTGTTCATATAAAACCCAAGAGAATTCAAAGCTAGTATTTGATTATGGTCCTAAGGGCGTGTAGAAGTACGTCTGAAAGTGACGTGAATGATGTTCTGGATTGCAGGACTGTGCTTGCCCAGGAGTTGGTCTGGTGTTGTGATGCTTGGTTTCTTCGGTAGGGTTTAGGGTTTAGGGGAGGGTGGTTCAAGGGTGGAGGGTATAAGGAATCCTTAGGGGACTGTAAGGGAACCTTAGGGAGTACTAGGGAGAATTAGGGATCACTAGGCTATATACCCCCCTTGGACCCCCCTCCCTTAAGGATACTACAAGTGGTCCCACCCCAGGGCAGCCCAAATGATGGAATCCCAAAGCGAGCGAACCACGCATTTGCCCGTGACTCAGAGGCTTACGAAGCCTGAGGGTGCTGCATCTCCAAGTTCGCAAAGTCCAGCCCTGCATATTGGCAGGAGTAACGAGAAGCACGAACTTGATATACATGTATACATATATGTATATATGAATATATTGTTATACCAATATAGAAGAAGAAATGGAAACACATACAGTAAACGCCATAAAGTTGGAAACCGGATTAAGGCCAAATAGTGCTGGAATTCCCTATACATTACTCCTAAGGATTGACAGGATTGAGGCTATGGGGTTTCCAACTTTTGGGCTTCTACTACTTCTACTGTATGTGAATACAAATAAGTGTGTGTGTATATATCGATAGATATAGGCACATACATAGAGAAAGAGAGGGGGAAACCATAGTCCTGCTACCCACTAGCTGGAGTCGTTCTTCAAAGCGCTATGCTGATCAATCGGATCTTAGCAAGCGCCACGCTGCTAGCTACTCGCTCATCGCAAGAATGGGACGATTCGATTCAACGGAACTATTCGGAACCATAGATAGCAACATGCGTGATGATGACCTTCGTAGTCACACTCGAAAGAATTGCAAAGCCCTAGGATATGAACAGGCATCCTTTGTTGTGCTACCATGCACGCCGCCAACAGGGGCAAGGTCGTAATGATCATAGGAATCACAGCCAACTCTGGCAATTGTCCAACGGCAGTTTTCTAAGTAGCGATATGGGAGACTCAAATCTCAAAGAAAGCGACACCGCATATATTAAGATGAAGAGAGATACCCTAAACCCTCTAAACCCTACAAGGCCCTACACCTTACCTAAAAAAGCCCTAAACCTTACCAACAAAGCCTTAAACTCTAAACCCTAAACCTTACCTAACAAACTTTCAACCTTAAACCCTCAACCTTACCTAAAAACCCTTAAACTCTAAACCTTAAACCTTACCTAAAAGCCTTAAACTCTAAACCATAAACCCTAAACCTTAACTGTCCCAATATTCTGGATACCGATACCGCGGTTCTGCGGAGCGAGGAACATCCCCTGCCGTTGCAGCGCCGGTGACTGTGAGTGGATTTCGGTACGGGGAGTTTTGAAGGAGTTTTTCAGGATTTAGGGGTTTAGGGCCTATAGGGTTTAGGGCTCAGGGTTTAGGGAGATAGGGTTTCGGGGTTTGGGGTTTAGGGGAATCTAAAGCATCACTTTTTTGTTGATGGACGCCCGTTTTCCTTTGAACTCCGATCGTGAGCACCCCGTGGTGCTACCCCTGTGAAGGGTTGCGCCGCGCGCCTAAAATGTGTCACTTTACCTCGCGTTTGGGCGCTCGAGGTGGCCAATCCCTGGGAAGGGTTGCGCGGGAACCTTAAAATGTGTAACTTTACCTAGCGTTTGGGCGCTCGAGGTGGCCAATCCCTGAGAAGGGTTGCGCGGGAACCGTAAAATGTGTAATTAACTTTACCTAGCGTTTGGGCGCTCGAGGTGGCCAATCCCTGGGAAGGCTTGCGCGGGAACCTTAAAATGTGTAACTTTACCTAGCGTTTGGGCGCTCGAGGTGGCCAATCCTTGTGAAGGGTTGCATTCCCGATGGACGACGACGGTGCCACCCCTGGCTTTAGAAGAGAGATTAGAAACCGAGATGTTAGAGTCAAGTAAGTAAGCAAGTATAGAGTCAAGTAAGTTAGAGTCAAGTAGGTAAGTAAGTAAGTATACAGTCAAGTAAGTATAGAGTTCAAGTTCAAAGTTCATAAGTAAAAGTTCATAAGTAAGTAAGTAAATAAGTATAGAGTCAAGTACGTAAGTATAAGTAAGTATAGAGTGCAAGTTCATAGCATAGAGTCAAGTATCAAGTGTAGAGTCAAGTAAGGTATAGAGGCAAGTAAGTAAGTCAAGTAAGGTATAAAGTCAGGTAAATAAGTAAGTAAGTAAGTATTTCAGGTATAGCATCATAGAGTCAAGTATCACGTGTAGAGTCAAGTAAGGTATAGCGTCAAGTAAGTCGATTCTATGTCTGTCATCTATGTACTCATCTACCCGGCTCCGCACGGAAGAACCCTTCGCGATGCTTTCGGGAAAAATCCGTTTGCGAGGGCTGTTATCAGCATCTCTCACTCTTGAATAGAAAAGTACTGTGCTACCGCTTTGTTTTTGCCGCATTGGAAAAACATTTGAATACGAGACAACTACACTAATTAAACAAATTCATCCAAGTTACACAAGGATAAGGAACCTTCGGTTCAGTGAATGTTAAAAACACAAAAAAATTGCTCAGGCGTGATAAAAACAGCGAACTTGGGCGCAAGATAGTGTTTTTTCGGTGAGTTTTGCACCATTCAAGACTAGAGGCAGACAGTAACGAAAAGCGGTATTGGCAAAATGTTTGATTTCGTGTCTCAAGCAGGGGTTGTGCTCTCCGTAATCAATGCCCGTGGCCCTCTGCGAAGTGGCCCAAATAGCTGTGGTCAAGGAAGGCTACATTGCATGCGCAGCAGGCCCTTTGCCGTCTCAGCAACTTAGCGAGTTCTAACTAAACATAGGTTCCGCGGCAGTTTCAAGAAAGGTTCTGCCCAATCACGAGTCTGATCAGGAAAACTTTGCAAGACTCTACCCTGTTGTGCTTCATGTCCATGCAAAGTGCAATCGATCAGGCATAGGCTTGAAGAGCAAACCCAGACACCCCACCAAACTCCAGGCAGTCAAAGCCGTCCAACCTGGACTTAGCAAGGTTGGTGTTGAAAGATGGTGGAATGCCTTCAGTACACCCCGAAACCCTGTGCCCTGAGCTTTCGATACTCTCTTCGAAAGACTGCGGGGAGTTGACGTAAAGGTATACACTGCTACTCTACACGATACCCGCCTTAAACTGGCATGACTTTCTTCCTTCCGTGGTAAGGCATTATTACAGACCCCAATAAACCTATTTACAGGGCACAGGGCCTTGCGAAACGGTAGGGCATGTTAGTTTAAAATGCACCGCCTCGCCCCTAGATTCGCACTAGATGCACGAAGTCACAAGTACACCTGCAGCGGGCCCATACCCACCTCCAAAATGCCCAAGCTCTAAACCCCACATGCGAAACGTTTTGTCGGATGTACCACACCTTAGACCCGAATTGCTGTAAGTATACCCGAAGATAGATACATACATGGATGGATGGAAGGATGGGTTCGAAAAATAGATTGATTCGATGAATTCGGTGGATCGGAGAATCGATGGATCGATGGATGGATGGATAGGCGAACTTTGAGGGGCGATGGGTTTTAAGTACCAAAGCACAGCTCTAACGGTCCGAGGAGAGGTGTTGCGGGCTGTGGATTCCTTGGGCTTCGCTGGAACCTACGACTTCTTCTACCTGCCGATGATCCCCGATTAACCGCGTTATTTGTGGCTTTGAGGTTTGAGGTCGTAGGGGCTCAGGGTTTCGGGTTTGAATTCGGATTGTTCAAAGCTGTAGGGTGCAGTTTCGGATGGTTCTGACGGGTACGAGTACGCAGATTTGTTTTGCTTGTGTCTTCTGTGCTTCTGTTCCCAAAGGGTGCAAAGTACCTGTAAAGTAGACTGTAGGCTTTTTATACTAGGAATTACTATTATGCTTTGGAGAAGTATCCCCCATAACAGTACCTAGGACCCTTTAGGGTTGACAGGGGGGGCTCCACAGTTCTCGTGGTATTGGTCCCCCAGGCTCCATGTACTGAAAGGAACCCTCAAAGGGACCCTTATCGGAACCCATATAGACGCCCTCGAGATTTTCCTAAAGGAGTGACTATACCCTAAGCCCTAAATCCTAAACCCCAAAACCCCTAAACCCTAAGCACTAAACCGTAGGAACCCTTAGAGGACATGTCACAGGGCTCCTTAAGATCCCTGAAAGGCGACAGGCTTGACGGCTTACTGGTTTGGAGTCTATGGTTTGGGCTTTATTGGTTTAGTGTTTGGGGTTTAGTGGTTTCGGGATCAGATCGGGGTGTCAGGGGATTTTGTTTGCAAGCTGTGCTTTGTTTGGAGGACGGCTTGAACGATAAAGTCGTGTGTTCCAGGCTTTGGGTGTGGAGGCTGCGGGTGGCTGGTGGTATAGCTTCCCACAGGGCAATCCGAAGCACAGATGCGTTTTCGGTTTAGGGTTTAGGGTTTTGTTAATATAGGGTTTAGGGTCAAGAGCTACTTACAAGTCTGTTAGATACATCCTCACCCGGTGGCCCGGTGGCCTTGACATGGTGCACCCCTCTTCTTTAAAGTTGTAGAACCTCTCCTGGGTGAAGCAGCAGCAAGTCAGGGGTCGTCCTACTACTCGGCGATAGTACTCTCTTAAAAACAGTATCTTAACTATACTAGAATGTAGCTATGAATACATGATTATATATACACACAATTATACACACATACATCTTTTGTGTATATGTGTGTATATATACATATATACATATTTATATGTATATATGTATGTATATATGCTTGTATATGTTTATATATGTATGTTCTCTCTCTCTCTCTCTATATATATATATATATATTTTTTTTTTTTCATATGGTACCCCCCCCCCCCGGTACCCAGGTTGTGTCCTGTTCAAGCCAGACACCTTGTCCCTAATATTTGTTTGTGTTCCTTGGTCATTGCGTCTCTGGGAAAGCACGTTTTCGTTTACTGTGGCTCCCTGGGCTTCTAAGTGTAGCGTCTACTGTATTGTTGCTCCCGAGCTTTCTCCAAATCGATGCAACTCCAGATCCATGGGAATGGTTGAACATGCTGGTTTCGCCAACATTGTCCACAGCACATATTTCAATACGTTGTTACCGAAAGTTGCGATTGAGCAGATCTTACGTACTCGTGCGAGGCGTTTTGCAGACAAGCGGTAAGGTATTTGCATCTTTGATTAAGCTCACTAGTTGGTCCAACACGAAGCTAGGTAATTCATAGTCTCCGCTTGAAGACACTACTGTGGGAACACCAGTTCATGGTTTTTCTGTTTATCACATACAAGGCTGTACTCCATGTCTAACATTCAAAAATTTATTATAGGAAAGCTATTGCTGCACGACCAAGCTTAGCTGGCTTAATCACCCAGTTCTTAAGATAAATGTAGAAGGATCTACTTATGTTGCTTGGTGTTTGCATGGGGGTCTTTGGTCGTTGTGGTTGTGTATTCTTTTTTGGTGTGGCACTGGTGCTTACAAGAAAACAAAGAGCCCGTAGTCAAAAGACTACCATGTGCACCAGAATTCTGACATACATCGTTGTCAACTTGTCATCATTTGGTAGGTGCAGACTTTCGAAAGCGATTCTGCGACCAATAAAATGGATATTACCTGTATGATGCACGCACTTTTGATGAACTGCACTCGGATTAAACATGTCGAAGTCACCTGACGTGAAAAAACTATAGTCGAACTAATTAACTACAACATACAACCTAGCGTGTAACACGCAGCCCCGGCGTGTTGGATCATGTTTGATTTGGAAGACTAATAACCCACTCTCAGCAGGCAAAAAGCAAGCAAATGTGTGGCTTGGTTAACCATCATCCTACCAAGAAGTGTTTGAAGCACAAGTGTACGTATTCACGTGGTGCTCTCTGGTAGGCTTATACTCAACGTAGCAGAATGTATAAAACACAGGACTCAGCAGGTACTTCATTTACTTTATAATGCTTGGCTACTATTGCCCAAGGTTCCCGAACAATATACGAAGCAGTCTGAATGAACAATCACAACAGTAATTGACACAGTAAAACTTGATGCAGAAATTAAACAAGCCGGGTGGTACATGGTCCTAAATGGCCTGGTATTGGTGAAGTATGATAACCACTGTAACAAGAATAATGGCATTTTACAAGATGTGATAACAACACTGTGAGAGGTAATATTAAAACCACAGTTGACATTTTGAGCTCGATATAGAAGAACAGAACATGTAGCAGTTTCATGATTGGGAAAAGAAACGGAGATCGGATTCCTAAGGCAATGGAGACTATACTTGCAGTAACAATTGAGAAGCCTAGCAACACCCAATCATTGTACAGTGCTGCGGAGACTAAAGGCTTTGACAAGTATACTGACACTATATGACACTGCTGTAGGCTTATTCCATATATGGCTGTATGAACCAATGAACACAGCAATTCATGTGAGAGAGTGCAACACCCACCACAGCAATGACATTGTTGCGTGTGTAAAAAACCATCACGACAGCCAATTAAACATAGCCACTATCCACCTTGATCCGAAATCTGCGTGCATGGCCTTGGGGATGCTACAGTATCACCTCTATGCCGTGCAAAGCTCTTTCTCTGACTGGGTTTCAGTAGGCCTGCTTCGCCATACCCTGCAGTTTGTCACACTCGCTCACTACTAGTACTATATGTCGGCTTATGGAGACCATGCGCATGCACTTGCAGCCTTTTCTGTCCGACTTCCTTCGTGCTATCAGCACAAAGACGAAAACCTGGGTACCTGAGGGGGGGGGGTAGCATATATATATATATGTATATACAAGCATCGCACAGCCTGTTCTAATCATCAAGGCATCCTCAACTGGTGGTCGGCGATTTCTGAAACCTGAGTTGCAGCAGCAGCAGTGGTAGTTGTTGAGGCTCTTGAAGTAATTTAAGATGTGCAGGCTCTGCAAGCACCCTTCAACGATTAACCTTCAAACTCTACCTAGACCTCAAAAGTAGGTGAAATACCGTCAACGTCCTAGCACCTTTGAAGGGCCATTATGCTACATACTTTTAGGGTGCAGGTAAGCCCAGAAATCCTAAACCCTGAAACCCTAAAGCCCTAAACCGTAAACCCAAAATCATCCTGATCCCCAGAAGCCCGCAGAACTCGAGGAACAGGCGACATAAGCAGGGGATTGGCTACGCCTTCATCAACTTTATTGAACTCGGAACTGCCACTTGGATGCGAGTAGTACCCTTCAAGAGTTCCTCAAAGGGTTCCCTAAAGAGTTCCCTTAAAGAGTTCCTTGACGGATTCCTTAGACCTTAGGGGGATCTATAGGGGGGAACTGCAACTTGGATGTGCCAAGGTGTCCTTAAAGGGCTCTAAGTCTAAAAGGGATTTGCAGCCAGGGGTTTAAAGTCTACTAGGTTCCTGAGTAGTGCCCTTTTGCTTTTTTGTAATATAAAGTCCCCTTATTACGACCGAAGACAGAGCAAATTGGTACCCTTACTGTAAAGGAGCAACTCAGAAAGCTAGTAAGGGTCTTTTGGGCCTGCAGATGTTGTTTGACTAGCATTGTTTTTTCGAATAGCTTTGGGGTATACTCTTACTGCTATCGTTTGCCACATCGGCATAGTACTGCCGATCGACGATGCTGTTGTGTTCGTGTCCTGTGTGCTCTTACACTCACACTACAAGACCACTACGTCAAGCGGACCTGTATGACCAGAGTTTTGGGCTTACCAGTTGCACCGGAAATGGCCAAGCACACTTGCTGCTAAGCTTACCTCTTGCGATGCATTTCAGCCATGATATAAAACCTTGGAACTTAATGTTTTTCGGTCTACGATTCCTTTGTAGCTCCGCTACTTGATTTTATGCTTGCAAGGTTCATTGTGCAGACTGTCTTCGGCGCATGGAGCATGTTATTGCTTGGGGTTCCTCAATATTATACTACAGAATGCTATACCCCTCACCCTATTCTAGTCATGAATTCCCCTGTGTTGCGTTCGTGGACGGCCGCTGGTTCAGGTTGGGTGCAGAGCTGAGGGTTTAGAGCATAGCGAGAGTATTTTCCTGGTACGCATAGCCCGAACCTTCGAACCCCACGACCTATAAGTCCTACGAAGCCTAAACTCAAAAGGCCCACCTTGACCCAAAGCTTACCTAACAGCCGAGCCCCAATACAAACTTGTCCAAAAACGTCAAAATTCCACCAGAGGTGCAGAACCATCATAGAGCCCCGGTAGCATCGTTATAGAACCCTTGCCGAATCCTTGTAGAACCCTCTCGGGTCCTGCCGCACGCAGAAGCACCCATAGCAGGCTGCGCAATTCAAGGAGGCTATCTGGGGCTACCGCACCCTGGAAGACAACTGGGTTTAGGTTTTACGTTTAGCCGGAAGTTCCTTAGGAAGCGTGTTGAATTTCTGCTAAAGCATAATCTCAAGAGGCGACGGTTTACTCAGGGTTCAGGACGTTAGGGTTCTTTGGTTTTTGGGGCTGAGGGTTTGGGTTTCCGGGTGGAATCGGGCTACAAAGTAAACGCATGCAATTCAACAAGTGATGCCTGCCCCACCTGAGAACTTAAAAGATCCTCTCTACCAACTTAAACAGGGGTCCGAAGGCAATAGCACTTAAAGACAGGTGTTGTCGATAGCAAGGGGTATACATTTTCTAACTTAAGTTAAGGCGTGAGAGTCCCTGTTTGGCTTCC